CAAGTAGCTGGAATTACAGGCATGCGCTACCATGCCCAGCTGATTTTTTGATTTATTGTAGAGATGAGGTCTCGCTGCCCAGGTGGGGCTCGAACCCGTGGGCTCAGGCAATCCACTCACCTCAGCCTCCCAAAGGCACGGGATTACAGACTGAGCCACCAAGCCTGGTTAGATATACTGTTTCTTTCTTCCTTTTTTTTGTTTTTGAGTCAGAGTCTCACTCTGTGCCCAGGCTGGAGTGCAGTAGCATCATGGTCACAGTTCACTGTACCCTCAAGCTCCTGGGCTCAAGCGATTCTTCTGCCTCAGCCTCCTGAGTAGCTGGAACTACAGGTGCATGCCACTATGCCCAGCTAATTTTTTTCCTATTTTTTGTAGAGATGGGGGTCTTACTTTGTTGCCCAGGCTGGTCTCGATCCTCCCCCCTCAGCCTCCCAAATTGCTGGGATTATAGGCTTGAGCCACTGCTCCTGTATGATATACTCCCTCTATCCAGAAGTTTCTTAGATTGAAATTTTGAGTTGGTTTCACTTGCTCAAAACCATTTTAAAATTATTTTGATTGGTTTTACTTTTGGAAATTCAACTAAAAGAAAGATTCCAAAATTGTGGATTTAGAAGAGTCCAAGATTGCTGTGAAATTTATTAAATCAGTCATTTTAGAATAAGTAAACAGTATAAATGTTCAGATTATCATCAGAGCTAGAAAAGGGATATTAATATATGTTTAATTAAAAACACTGAATAGTCATTTAATATAGAGACTAATTTAGTATTCATGCAAGATTTATATTTTCATATGCAAATGATATTTATAGTTTTAAAAAATGGGCCAGGTATAGTGGCTTATACCTCTAATCCCACCACTTTGGAAGACCAAAATGGTAGTATCACTTGAGGCCAGAGTTTGAGATAAGCCTGACCAACATAGTGAGACACCCATTTCTTCAAAAAATTAAAAAAATTAGCCAGGAGTGGTGGTATACACTTGTAGTCCTGGCTACTTGGAAGGCTGAGTGGGAGGATTCCTTGAGCCCAGGAGTTTGAGGCTGCAGTGAGCTAGTTTTGGGCCACTGCACTACAGCCTCAATGACAGAGCAAGACCGTGTCTCTAAATAGACAAACGAAGATCATATGGGCTATCCTCATGGTTTGAAATATTTTAAGAAATAATAGGAGACTGTGCTCAGGAAGCTGAGGCAGGAGGATTGCTTGAGCCCGGGAGTTCAAGTCCAGCCCAGGTAGTACAGTTAGAGACCATTTCTTAAAAAAAGGAAAGAAATAATAGAAAAACATGAAATTCTATACATTTAAAAAGTACTAGATGAAAACTACAAATGATCATTGTAAGCCATTGCAGAACTGGAATATAAGTACTTTAGAAAATAGTATGGGACGTCGTCCCCCTACCATTTCATTTTAGTAATATGGAAGGGTGGGAGTATGCCAGTTTTGTAAGGTAACTTTTTTACAACAGAATTGTACTATGACTGACTGTCAAAATTTTACACTTTATAATTTTCCCAGGTTGCATACAGATCTGTTTATAGTAAGAATTTATAAGTGCTTATAAGGGGAAAAATTGCAAATAGAATTCTTTTATTTATGTTTGCAGAATTTTTTTTCTTAATGGCTATTGTAGCCACAGGATGTAAACTATTCTTATTTTAGCACATTAATAAACTGTTTGAGCATTAACAATTTTTCACTTTATCTTTAGGCTTGTGTAGTAAAACGTGAATTTAAGAAGGCAGAACAGTTAATTAAACATGCAGTGTATTTGGCACGGTAAGTGATTATTATTAAAAATATCATTTTAAATTGTCTCTCTACTTTATATCCTAATAGTTTTGTATCTTTTTATAGGGATCATTTTGGATCCAAACACCCAAAATATTCTGATACACTGCTAGATTATGGGTTCTACTTACTCAATGTAGATAATATCTGTCAGTCTGTTGCAATTTATCAGGTATGTTAATGGTTACCCTTTTCTTCTTTCAACCTAAATTGACTTGCTGACTTGTATTTGTTTGTGGTGCTCTCTCTAAAAATCACTCTTTGAGACCCCCTCCACATATAGAGAATACCATTATTTTATTAAGTATTACTCACAAGGCTTAAAATAGTGTTTTAGGAATTAAAGAGAATCATTCATGAAAGGAATTGTTTTCCTCTTTAAGGAGAACTTTTACATTTTTTTATTGGCCAGATATGGCTTGTCTTTGTTGATTTAGCAAATGTTACTATAGCTAACATTTATAACAGTAAAGAGGATTGATAACATTTATTTTAGGCCTATCTTAGTCATTCTCGAGTAAAACAAAATACTATGCCATTGCTATAGACATGGTATCCTTGATTTTACACTTCACTTTTATTATTTATTTATTTATTTATTTTTTTGAGTTGGAGTCTCACTCCGTCGCCTAGACTAGAGTGCAGCAGCCGCTCCTGGCCACTGCAGCCTCGACATGCTGGGCTCCGGCGATCCTTCCACCTCAGCCTTCCAAGTAGCTGGAACTGCAGGTGCGCGCTACTACGCCAGACTAATTTTTTGATTTATTGTAGAGATGAGATCTCACCAAGTTACCCAGGTGGGTCTCGAACCCTTGGACTCAGGCAATCCACTCACCTCAGCCTCCCAAAGGTGTGGGATTACAGGCTGAGCCACCGAGCCCAGCTTACACTTCACTTTTAAAGGAGATAGAGAACAACATTGATGTGATTCGTAAGACATAGGAATGATTATTAAGCTGTTGCCTTTTAGTTAGACTCCATCTTCAGAAATGTAGGGCTTCTGGGTGATTTTCATGTTCTACTGTGATTTAAATAGAGCAGTACTTTCTTGGCTTTAAAACTGATGGAATTGAACATATCAAATATATATATTTAAATTATTAGGATGGCTAGTTTAACTAAGTGATATTTTCTAAAAGTTTACAGTGTTAACAAATACTTTAATAACTTTCAGGCTGCCCTTGACATTCGACAGTCGGTGTTTGGTGGCAAAAATATCCATGTAGCAACAGCTCATGAAGACTTGGCTTATTCATCTTATGTTCACCAGTATAGCTCTGGAAAATTTGACAATGCACTGTAAGTTCTACCTTCCTTTTTCATGAAGGATTAAACACTGTTTTTTGTTTTTCCGTGATACACCAGTTACCTGAAATCTTGAAATCTAAAATCATATCAGTTTATAGGCTATTTATTTTGCCTTTTTGTGGTTTAATGTTGAAACTTGATTATTTTTGTGTAGACTATGACTTATCTTAAAACTTTTGAGTAATACAGTAGCAAACTTAATAACCTAAAAACTTTTTGTTCAAGACACATAGAAATACCGAATAAAGTATAACAATCATCTTTTTTGATGTATAACAGAGCTTACAAGAGTGAGGAGAAATTCCCAAGGGCCAGTAATGGACTTTAAAATCCAAAGGGTTAGGCATGGACTGTTGTGTACCTTCTTTGGGGTGAGGGGAAAACTTAGAAGTTTCTGTAACCTTTCTATAAACAACAATGCTGTGTTTAAGGGACATTTAGCCCACAGGAGGCTAGGCATGAGAACTGAACCCGTATGTGAAGCCAAGATCAAGGTTACAACCTTAGGGAGAGGACAGACTAGGGGAAAATCTGTCCATTGGTAGAGAGATGATAACTTGTCCATCTGAGCTTGGGGTTATAGCTGAGCCCAAAAAGGGACCTCACAGGAGAATTTATATTTACAAACCTATATCACTTTTGAGTTTGGGTATAATGCATACAGGACCCTCAAACTGAGAAAAATGTTTCAAAATCTCTTTGAGCTGCTAGTTTTCCTGGAATGCCTTCTGGGAGAAAATGCAAAACTCTTGGAAATGATTAACCATCACCCAAACTATACAGACATCTCATAAATCTAGCTCTATCTAAAATGAATGAAGCATACAAAATTACAAAATAGGCTGGGTGCAATGGCTCATACCTATAATCCTAGCTCTTTGAGAGGAGAGAGGATCGCCTGATCCCAGGAATTCGAGATCAGCCTGAGCAGCATAGTGAGACTTTGTCTTGACAGTAAGTAAAAAAAACTTAGCTGGACATGGTGGCACGTGCCTGTAATCCTAGCTACTGGGGAAGCTAAGGCAGAAGGATTGCCTGAGCCTAGGAGGTTGAGGCTACAGGAGCCGTGATTGTGCTCCTATACTCTATACCTACAATGGGTGACAGTGAAACTCCAACTCATAAAAAAGAAAATTATAAAATACGTAAGGAAACATTTCCTAAGAGTTAGCAGACATAATGAACAGGATTAGAATACTATGAACTTTCATTAACAGAACTTTTTGGTTGGCGTTACAAAGTATGTATTCTTAAATGATTAAATATAAAATGAGTTGGCAAACTATGGCCTGCAGGCAGTTTTACTGGAACATAGCCCATGCTCATTTGTTTGTGTATTTTCTGTGGTTGCTTTTACACTGCCACAGTAGAGTTGAATAGTTGGAACAGAGAATGTGTGGCACCACAACCTAAAATATTTACTATATGACCTTATAGAGAAGAAGTATGCCAACCCTGCTCAAAAGAAGAAATCAATAATAATTTGGAGGGAAGTAAAGAAAAAAGATTTTAAAACAAAACAACTGATATATGCTACAATGTAGATGGAACCTTGAAAGCATTGTGCTAAGTTACAGAAGCCAGTCACAAAGGATAATATTGTATGATTCCACTTATTTAAAATGTCCAGAAGAGGCAAATCCTTAGAGACAGAAAATAAATTGATGTTATTTAGGCTGGGGGGTTGGAAGGAAATGGATAGTGACTTCTAATAGGCGTGAGTTTCTTTATGGAGTGATGAAAATATTCTAAAATTGATTTTGGTAATAGATGTACAACTCTGAATATAGTAAAAAGCCATTGAGTTGTGTACTTTAATTGGGTTAATGGTGCAGTATGTGAATTATATCTTCATAACAGCTGTTATTAAAAACAAATAGCTAGAAGTGGAAAATAATCATTGATATTAACTCAGTAGACAAGTTAAACAGCATGTTAGTTACAACTAAAGAGATAATTTGTAAACTGGAAGGCAAATTTGAGAAGATTAATGATTACCTGGAAGATAGGGATAGGAGGCCCAGAGTTGTTTGAAAGGAACTGACAGATGAAATAGACAAATAGCTTAGTTTGCGTTTGTTGAGATGGGCTATAAACAAGTAACAAAATTCATCAGATGGGAATACTTAACTGTGAAGAAGAATAATGTAGGTTAAGAGTTTAGAACAAGCCGGGCTCGGTGGCTCAGCCTGTAATCCTGCCCCTTTGGGAGGCTGAGGTGAGTGGATTGCCTGAGTCCGCGGGTTCGAGACCTGCCTGGGCAGCGAGACCTCATCTCTACAATAAATAAAAAAAATCAGCCGGGCATGGTAGCACATGCCTGTAATTCCGGCTACTTGGAAGGCTAAGGCGGAAGGATCGTCGGAGCCCAGCAGGTCGAGGCTGCGGTGGCCGGGAGCGGCCACTGCACTCCAGTCTGGGCAACAGAGTGAGACTCCAATTCAAAAAAAAAAAAAAGAGTTTAGGACATGATGATCAGTTATTTTAGGGACTTTTATATAGTATGTTCTGGAAAGTTCTCTTTAATGAGAAGCGAGCCATGTGGCTGTTCAGAGGAAGAACATTGCAAAGAGAGGGTAAGATGAGTGCAGCGGTGAGAACATGGTTTGCATGTTCAGGAAACCGCTAGGCCTGTATGGCTAGAAGGGAAAGAGAGGTTTGGTCTGAGAATGGTAGGAGATGAGGTCAGAGAGGAAGATGAAAGATCATTTAGAACCTTGTAGACCATAATAAGGACTTTTTCTTATATTCTGAGAGAAATGGAAAAACACTGGATGTTAAAAGTTCGCAACAGCTTGGAAATTTAAAACAAACAAAAACTGATTCTTGGCTGGCACAGTGGCTCACGCTTGTAATCCCAGGACTTTGGGAGGCTGAAACAACATAGTAAGACCTCATTTCTACCAAAAAAAACCAAAAAACCTCAAAACCAAAAAAACTAGCCAAGCGTGGTGGCATGCGCCTGTAATCCCAACTACTCAGATTGAAGTGGAAGGATCACCTGAGCCCAGGAGGTCAAGCCTATAGTGAGCTATGATTGTGCCACTGCACTCAAGCCTGGGCAACACAGTAAAATCTTTGACTCAAAAACAAAAACCTGCTGCTTCTTTACCATAGATAGTTTTAGAAGTACTTGCTATCAGTATTATATCACAGGTTGTGGTTTAAAATTTTTAAAATCATTTGTAATTTTTTTAAAAAATGCTAGACTGTTTCTATCTGTATTACAGATTTCATGCAGAAAGAGCTATCGGTATCATTACCCACATCTTACCTGAAGATCATCTTCTTTTGGCTTCTTCAAAGAGGGTGAAAGGTATCCTTTGCATTGTAGTCTTAGATATTTTTAAATAAATGATATATGGTATAAAATAGGTTTATTTGTTTATTTTCTCAGCTAGTGGCAAAGGATTTGACTGTATCTACATAGTACTAACATAGCCAATTCAGTGCAACTATAGTTATGGGTTTCCAGTGATTCGTAATGAAAGATTGCTTACTTTTCTCCTATAATGTTAATAAGCCAGAATTTATTTCTTTTCTCTCTCCTTTTTTTCATTCATTCATGCATGGAAGATTGCATAGAGGAATAACACAAATTATTTCTCAGCAACATGGATAGAAAAACTGAAGATGGATTTCATAGTTTCAGCTTTATAGTGCAGAATTCTTAAACTGAGCTTCAGATCAGGTTACTCTGAATGTTGCAAGACTCTTGCCAAGTACCACCTTCTTTCTTTTCTTATTTTAACCTTTCTTCTAATCACCACTAAGGCTTTTTCACTTAATGCATTTATTTTACTAACATGATTGGGTCACCCAATGTGGAAGTTCCCTGCATGTTGGATAAGTATTACCTTAGGGTTTTTTTCTTACCTTTGGTTTTACCAACCTTAGGAGCTGGATTGTTCTCTCTCTCTAGATATGCATTTTTTAAGTTACAGAAGTAATACATGATTAATGTAAAAAATTAAGTTAGAAAAGAGATGAAATAAATTGCCTGAAAATCTCACTAATTCTAAATTAGTCCTTTGAAGAGTGTTATTTTAGACTTCTCATTCTTTAAATAAGATAACTAAATATAAGTTAAATGAATAAAAAGTATTCATTTAAGTATCATTTATTTTTTAGTTTTATAATCTGATTTTTTCACTTAATTTATTATGAAAATTTTTCATTTCAACACATGTATCCTTTTTCCTAATGTATTTAACTTCACCTCTACTATTGAGCCTTTATGTTATTTTTAACATTTTGTATTTTAAAAATGCCACAGGGAAGTAAATTCTTTGTGTATATAGTCAATTTTCCAAGAAATAAAATTACTTCTTAAAAGAGTATGCATATTTTTATGACTTTAGATGGAATTTGAAAGTCTTGAATGTCACTTTGAAATCACAATGTCTTCTTGCCTGATTTGGTTGGTCAAGCAAGTGGGAGGAAACCTGTTCTTTTAGCTATGTTTGGTTAAAGGTTACGTTTTATAAAGTGTGGCTTCAAAATTTTCAGAAGTGCTTAGGTACTCCTTGACACAGTTTCATAACTTTTAAAAACTTGCCTCTTTCTTCTATTTACTTTAATAAAGCAATTTCACATCAGCATAAGAAAGTATGTTTTTTTTTGTTAAGTGGAATATTTTTATCTTGACCAGTTCTAAACCATAATCACATATAAATATGTTCAATATTTTGTTGTTCAATAAACAATTATGCCATTTAATTTTAAGCTAGATGTTCTGATTAGCTTTAGTAGATGTTTTGAAGTACACTAATTTATTGCTTTCTTTATTCAGCACTTATTTTAGAGGAGATTGCAATTGACTGTCATAATAAAGAAACTGAACAGAGGTTGCTTCAAGAAGCTCATGATTTGCACCTGTCTTCACTCCAACTAGCTAAAAAGGCTTTTGGGGAATTTAATGTACAGACTGCAAAACACTATGGAAACCTTGGAAGACTTTATCAGTCAATGAGAAAATTTAAGGTAAAAATATGTTTTACTATTTTTTCTCTCTCTTAATAATTTTAAGTAATAAAGTAGAATCTTAAGTAGTAAATTAGAATCTTAATAAATCCTCAGTGATCTTAAATAATAAAGTATATATTTATTATACTACTGTCTTATTCCATATATTTATTATACTCCTACCATATATAATTAAATAAATGTATTTAATTATTTAAGAATTGAGAACATACCTAGTATAAAACAATAGTCTGCTAGGTACAGTGGCTCACACCTATAATTTCAGCACTTTGGGAAACCAGGTGAGAGGATTGCTTGAGCCCAGGAGTTCAAAAGCAGTCTAGGCAACATAGGCTTAATCTCTACCAAAAAAATTTAAAAAATTAGCCAGGCCTGTAGTTCCAGCTACCTGGGAGACTGAGGCAGAGGGATCGCCTTGAGCACAGTGGGTGGGGGCTGCAATGAGCCATGATTATGCTACAGCACTCTAGCCTAGGTGAGTCTTTTTTTTTTTTTTCAGTTGGAGTCTCACTCTGTCACCCAGACTGGAGTGCAGTGGCGCTACCGGCCACCGCAGCCTCGACCTGGGCTCTGGCGATCCTTTCACCTCAGCCTTCCAAGTAGCTGGAACTACAGGCGCGCACTACCACACCTGGCTAATTTT